TTATATCGAAATCGCCTCCAAACTTAAAATTGAGGCGGTTATTCGATAACCGCCTCCATGTACATTTCTTCGTTTTTGAAGATAGCCTAAAAATTATGTGATTCTGAGCGGGTATATACTAACCTCTAGGGGTGTAAATAGGTTAGGCCGGCCTACAGGGACCTATGGCCTAGCCTATATTAAACCAGACTTGGCCTATTACAAATAGTAAAATAGAACAGGCCTAGGCTTTTAAAAAATCTATTTAGAAAATATGTCATAGGCTTTTTTGTACGTGTCGGGCCTATAAGCTTACAGGCCGGCCTATATCATATTATTTATTTTAAATAAAAAAAATAAAATTATTATTTAATAATTTTGAATAATAAAATAATATTATTTTAGTTATTTTTTTAATTGTTGAATATTTAATAGACTTAAACAGGCTAACAAATCTAGGCCAAGACTTTTATTTTTTAAATATAGGTCAGGCCAGACATGTAATTTGAGACATACACAGGCTAATAGGCCAGGCCAGATTCAATATTTTTCACATAGGCTTGGCCTATTTAAGGCAAAGCCTAACCTAACCTATTTACACCCCTACTAACCGCCCCCCAAATATATTTGAGAGGCAGTTGAAATAATCGTCTCCGTTGGTCATTTATAGGCGGTTGTTCAATGTTATGTTAATTTTGAATTGGCATCAATGTTATGTTAATCCAAACAATTAGAGCATTTAGAGGAGGTTATATAAGAATTTTGAGGTAGTTTATATTTATTATTTATGTGTAAAAAAATGAATATTTAATTTTAATGTTTAAGCTTTTTTTTGATTACATAATGTTTAAACTTTAATTATATATCCATTTCATATTTTTATCATGTCAGTCCTATTTCGTATTTAAATAATTGATAATTGATACAAAATAATTATATCCTATTATAAAATAGTAATTTTACTTATTTTGATAGTTAAGGATTGATAAAAAAAAAAGTTACCATGTTTAAAATTTATAAAATTAATTTGAAAAAATTATGTGAAATTAGAATTTAAATTAAAGTTTGAAATTGTAAATCGAACAACTCTGAAAGGCCAAAAAATACCGGGACTCATCTAAAAGTTATGACCCTTGATCATAACCGTCTCTTTGTAAGGTTTGCAACTAGAAATTATTAAGCGCTAAATGATAGCAACAAATGTCTTGTAACTATAATAGCCTTTTGTAAATCTAGCAATTGGTAAAGTGTTGGGTGAATCCCCATAGGTAAGATATAGTAGGTAGTTATCGTGTGTGGTGTAGTGGTGAAAGAGAGGTCACGGGGATAAACCATCACGTAGGCTACAAAGATGTGGCAAAAGGTTTATAAGTAGGAAAAGACAATGTCCCTTATGAATTTAATTGTTAAAAATTAAATTTTTACTTTTAATGTATAAGGTTTGCGTGGATCCCTCTATTGCACATATTTACAAAATTAATTTAGAATGCTTGACTTAGTATTAATATATCACGTGCGTGAATTGTAAGAACCTGCACTGTTAATAAAGAAATTTAATTAATTAATTATGAGATTAATGAGATAATTCTATAATTGACCCTAATAATTATGAAAATGTTTAAATAATTATGGTAAGTGATTAATAATGCTGGAAGTCGCTTTTCTGACGAAAAATGCATATACCGGTTCTGCTCCTTGGTATAAATGCGTACTGACGAAGTATTCCTGAAAATTATAATAAGTGTGGAAATATTCCTAGAATAATATATATGACTGGTAAAACAAGTTTCAAGTTGAAATAATGAGAACTGGTGCCAGAAATGATATTGGCTATGTAAAAGCGCATACCAGAAAGGTGCTGCGAGAATAAAATAAAAATATGATAAATATTAAAAAAATAAGTAGGTTCAGAATTCTAAGTTTGAGATTAAAATGCTAAGCGTAGCTTTTAATGCTAATATTGTGTGATTATTTATTAACCAGCTATAAATAGAGCATTACACAGAACCTTAGGCTGATTCTGTGTGCTCTACGTGCCTCCACTTGCATTTCTCTGGTCAGCCACCTTCCCTCTCTATTGAGCCATCAAGAGGTCAAATTTCCTCTTGGTTTCTTCACAAAAATCCTTGGGTGAGTGTATTCAAGCCTTGGAAAACAGAAAGGGGATGCATTTCTGAGTTAGGGTGTCAGTTTGTGTGAGGGTTGGGTGCTGACTTTTGGTTTTGTAAGGTGGGAAGCCATTTTCTTGGTGGTTGATGCTTCAAGAAGCAACCTTTGGGAAGAAAGAACCTTGCTTGTAGGGTATTTTCGTACTCCATTAAAGTCTGAACATGAGGAGCTGTTGTGAGAGCTCCAAGAGCCATTGTTGCTCTGTTTCAAGCTTGGGTAAGCTTCATCACCTTGGATCATGAGTTTTAAATGTTAAAAGTTGAGTCTTGGCATGTTTAATGAGTTAGTTAAGTAACCAACACGTATATGAACCTGTATCTGCCTAAAAATGGATTCTTGGACGTATATTAATGGTAAAAGTTGAACCTTTGGAGTGATATCTCGCGAAATGCAAAATCTGCATTCTGTCGCGAAATATCCGGATATTAGTATCCGGATATGGGCTCTGTAGATATCTGGATATGACATTCGGATATGACATCCGGATATGATATCCGAATATGAATATCCGGATATGGACCCGACATATATTCGGATATTCTGGGTTTTCGAGGACAGTAACGGTACTGTTCATACAGATTGATATTTTGGGTTTGTGGACCCATAATTGGTTAATGTGGACTTCTGTAGTAATTAATCTAAGTCAGAATCATAGTGATTAAGGGCTTATGGCTTTGTGAAAAGCCTAAAGACATGAAACATAAAGGAAAAGTGTTGTCTTTATGTCTTATGCTTGTTGTGTTTGAATATTGATAAGATTATTGGTCCAAACAGATTGTGATTGTGCTTTGTGTGAACTTTGAGCTTGGTTGAAATCTTGGCTTGGATAGTTAGCTTGCAAGGTAAGCTTTCGTGTCCTCGGTTTAGCCATTGTTGGTTCCATCATACCCCATGGGGGATGGTTTATATGCATGATGTTGTTTTCATGTATTGATTTGTTGAAATGCTATTGAGCTGTTATATGCGAGTGCAATTATGATATGCATGTGGTGTTCCACCTATACGGTAAGCCTGAGTATGTGGGGACATACAAGACGGTGAGGTTGTGGGTGAGGTGCAAGCGGTGTTCCTTGTACTAATTGTGGGTTGTAGACGTACGTCCGCCATTTCTCTGGCAAATAGAATAGTTTTAACACACATGGCATGATTATCTGCTGCACTGCATTGGTTTTGGAACTTATATTGTTTAAACTGTTTTAGAACTTATATTGTACATGTAAGTGAGCTTGGGGTGGAGAAATCATTGAGGACCCCTTGCCTTACTGAGATTTCTGTTTAGAGATCTCACCCCACGTTTGGGGCGCTTATTTCAGGTTCAGGTAACTCAGGGATTGAGATCTCTGGCAGTAAGAGGCCGGAGCTTAGTCGATTGATGTTTACCTGCTTATGCTGTTATGCTTGGATGATGGATTATGCATGTTGCTTTTATGCTATTAGCTACATATTATGGTTATTTGAGCTGAGACTCTGTTGACTATGTCGTTTATTTGGTGAGCATGGGGATTGTCCATGCCACTTTGACTTGACTTTATGCTTTAGTTTTGAGTTGTATTAGTGTATCAGGATATTGTCCGGACTACGTGTTGTAGCTCTGTGACCTAGATACTCACTTATTTATATCATGAGATATTTCAGTTAGTTGTCTTTTGCAATTACATACAGGCAATGTTTTTGAAATAGAATTTTATAATCAACTTGGTTAATGATAATGACGTCATAATTGAAAAGAAAAAGATATTCCGCATTTTTAATTAAGCGTGGCTTAATACGATGACATGTTAACAAACCGGATATACACGAGGTGTTACATGTTAACAATCCCTAAACCCTAAAATAATAAAAAATTGAAATAAATACTGCTATTAAAAAAATATTTAAAAAAATAAAAAATTGAAATAAATATTGCTTATCAAAAAATAAATTTAAATAAATATTTTAAAAAGAAAATTATTTATTTTTATAATCCATAATCATTTTAAAAGTAATTAACCATTGAAACTGCTTAAAAAACCGCTTCAGAATGACATTTGAAGGCAGTTTAATTCACTTCTTAGCACAAACACAAAAATCGTTTGAGTACGACATTTTGAGGCTGTTTACTGAACCGCTTTAAAATCCGCTTGAGAATATTATCTAGACGCGATTTTATATAACCGATTGAGATTGAAATTTGTAGGCGGTTTCTTAACCGCCAAAGACTAAAATTCAGACGCGCTTATCACAATCGCCTAAAAATGATATTTCAAAGCGATTCAAAAAATGCAGTACAATATATAACGGAGGCGGGTATATGAACCGTTGCAGTATGCATATCAGATGTGGTTAATAGACCCACCTCCGAATATATACTGTAGGCGGGTAAATTAACTGCTGCGAAATATACTTTGGAGGTGGGTAAAAATAACCGCCTCAGAATGTGCACTGCAAGCGGGTGAAAAAACCGCCACGAATAGGTTTTGGAGGCGGGTAAAATAATCGCCTCCAATTATATTTCGGAGGCAGTAATTCCAGCAGTTGTATTAAACAGCTTCAGATTGTCTCTTGACGGTATTAAAGGCATCGGTTGACAAACCGCCGAACACAATGATTGGAGGCAGTTATAACTGCCGGAGTAATCAAATAAAACCGCCTCTACATTCGGCTTTTCTTGTAGTGTATTTGTGAAGTAATTATAGTACAGATAAACTTGACGTAACCTACATTGGGTGAACCAGGTAAATCTCTGTGTGAATTTTCTCTTCCCTTTCTCTTTTCGTTTTATGATTTGTGTGTGGTGGAATTGTCAATTTCCAACACTTGGTCGACAAGAAACTTAAAAAATATCAATTTTTTGATATCATTGAAAGGTCAATTGATACATATTATGAAAAATCATGTAATAATGTTCAATTGGACAATAATTCTATGCACACACTTACAACTTCAGCACACTAGGACAAGACCAAAGAAACCGCCAAATTAGAAAAGCTGCTAGGCTTCTATTCTTGCACCCCTAAGATTAACAATGAAAACCTTAAATAAATTTCTTCCTCTTAGATACCCTCCCCCAACAAAAAAAAAAAAACAAGAGGCTGAACTTAGGAACGAACTGCTTCCACTTTAGGCACATGAACGGGAAAGTCATGAATCTCATCCACCCAAGGATTTTTCTCCTTTGATGGATTAATGGTCCTCAATGCACGCCACACTGCACTGTTGCACTTGAAACCAGAACCAAATGCAATCTGCCAAGTTTTGTCACCCTTCCTGATCCTCCCTTTTGATTCGGTGTAGGCCAATTCATACCACAAGGAACTGCTAGAAGTGTTGCCAAACCTGTACAGAGTCATTCTTGATGGCTCCATATGCCAATCAGTGAGCTCAAGATTTTTCTCCAACTCATCCAACACTGCTCTTCCTCCAGCATGGATACAAAAGTGCTCAAAAGCTAGCTTAAAGTCTGGGATGTATGGCTTTATTTTCATCTTGAACACTTTTCTAGCAACCAAAGTAGCAAAAAACAAGAGCTGCTCTGACATAGGAAGGACTAATGGACCAAGTGTTGTGATGTTGGTCTTTAGGGCTTCTCCAGCAACGGCCATTAAGTCCTTTGAGAGTGCCACACCAATTGTTTTCTTCTCATCTTCTTCTTGAAAGACACAACCATAAGATTTGTCATCTGCACCTTTGTGAGTACGCACTGTATGAATCAGTTGGTATTTGGCTTGTCTTCTAACAGAAGGCTTGTTGGAAAGGAGAACTGCAGCTCCACCCATTCTAAAGAGACAATTTGAGACTAGCATTGACCGGTTGTTTCCAAAATACCAGTTGAGAGTGATGTTCTCCATGCTCACTACTAAGGCATAAGAGTTGGGATGTACCTATAATTATCAAAGAAAGGTTAATACTTAGCGCTTAATTAAAAGTTTGCATTACAGCAATCATGAGTATATATTACAAAAAGAAAAAAGAAAAAAAAAGAAACATAAGAATCACGTGTACAAAACCATCCATAGAATCGCTTTTGATCCATTTATTATTATAGATATATAACAGGATTTATTAATGGTGATCATAACTTTCAATTACTGAGTCCTTAATTACCCTCAGTTGTACATGTTGACAATTCTTAAGGCTTATAAACACACTCATAAGTGTCCATGTCTTTGGGACACTTGTTGCTTGGGACAGTATTAAATAAGGTGGCAAACAGCTAACCAAACGAAACTGCAAGCCACATGGAAAAAGAACATGGACCAGCTGGACATGTGGACAACTTGTTCTGCAATTACCGCAAGTAACATCTATGCATGGAGGACCTACTTGTGTGGCCCAAAGGATGTTTAGAAACCTCCAATTACATGAATTCCATTTGATTTTTAACTTTGCCATACGAGGTATAATTATCTAGAGACGTGCATGCTGTATGAAGTAATAGCTGAATGATCATGAACTTGAACAACAATATGACTCAAGAATGAATAGTTAAAATTTTGAAAAGTTAAATATAAGTGCAAACCTGAAGGAGCTGCTTTGCAAGGTCTATAGAGATAAGGCCAGCACTGCAACCCATGCCACCTAGATTATAACTAATGATATTCCCTCTTAACTTGTAGTGGTTCACAATCATTGCAGAGAGAGATGGCGTGGGATTGAACAAACTGCAATTCACAACCAAAATCCCAATATCCTTAGCCTTGACACCAGTTTTTTCAAGAAGCTGGTCAATGGCTCCAAACATGACTTCCTCAGCTTCTTTCCTTGCTTCAGCCATACATGGATTTGGTGGGACACTCAAGATTGCCGGAGGTAAATAAGTCTTCTGTCCCAAACCAGACCTCTCAAGTATCTTCTTTTGAAAGGCCAAGTTCTCCTCTGAGAAGGTTTCAGTTAACACAGACCTTTCCATGAAAGTCTCCCTTGTGCACGTGCAATCTGGCTCTGGCTTGTAACAAGCAAAATCCACCAAGTAAACACCTCTTGGGCGACTCATGAAGTAAAGGGTAACAAGAAATACTGTAAGACTAGAACATAGAGTCACTGAGACAAGGTTGAACTTGAGGTTTTCCCAAAGTTGGAAAACATCTTGGAGAGAGATAGTTGATAGTTGAGCTGAAACTACACCAAGAAGGGGTATGAGCAAAAGGTACATAGCATTGGAGATTAAGTAGTGGTACCCAAGTTTCACATACTTAAGTCTCACAGATAGCAGAAAGTTGGGAAGTTTCACTCTTTGTCGTGGAGCTTCAACAGAAATGGTTCCTGAATCCGGGGTTTGATGATTCTTGTGATCTTCCATGAGGAAAGGGAACTCTAGGAAACACTTGGGAGAGGCTTATTGGGTTTGTATAAAGCAGGGGAAGGATTGAATACCTAAAAGAGAGGAAGGAAAACAAAGAATATAACAATTCAAAATAAAATAAAATAAAGTGTGGGTTTGGGTTTTCTTTCTCAATGGGAAACTTTTTTTTTTGGAAAAAAGTACTCAACTTTAGAAGAGAGTATATGTTTGCCTAAACATGTGAATGGGAACAAAAAGGGGAGAAGATCAATGGGTTGCAAAAATTTTGGAAGATGGCAGGGTTTTAAAGGGTGTGTGTGTAGGAAAAAGATAGAGAGATATATAGGAGGAGGATAGTTGATACAACTACCCCAACGAACATTTAATAGTTAACATGCAGGGGCATTGAATAAGCCAACTGGAAAAATTAGTGTTTTTTAACCTTGTTCTTTCCTTGTTATTGCTACTTTGCCACTCTCTCTTTTTTTATTTTATAAAGTTTTGTTTTTGGCAGTGTATTCTCATTTCTCATACATTTATAGGCAACAAGTACAACACCCGAATAGCTCAAGCATGCTTGTTAGATCGGTAAACTGTCCACCATTTAGGTCAAAATCACACGTTGGTGATTGGTGAACTATAAAAATAAATGATGTTTATGCGTATCTGCTTTCCGCTTTCTGTTCATTATTTTTCCTTTTCCTTTTCGCTTTTAATTTTCACTTCAGAAACGAAAGCCTCCATACCATATACCACAATAAAAAAAGTTACACACTTCTAAACAATCCCCCCAAATACGTCACAAAGTTTTATATACTATTGCTTGCATAATTTTCACCTTAAAATAATGGGAAAAAAATTCCCACGAGAAATTAGTTGAAAAAAATCAATTAATTGTTGAAAATAATATGCAATTGAAACTTTTTTTTTTAATGAAAAAGATAGGAAAAGAGATGAAATTTCATTATAAATATAAGATTACTCAATGACGGTTTCAACAAAGTCGCGATCGGTTAATCTCCAAGAGTAGCTCAGTTGGCAACTGAGCTTTCAAGGGTTTGCTTCAGTCAGGGGTTCAAACCCTGCCTCAAGCAAATTCTTGAAAAATCTTTGGGGATCAGAGGAAGTGCTTCTCTCCTCGAATGAGGGATTAGTCTCATCCTTTCTCCAGGTAGCGAAGCTCAATGCACCCGCTGTTCCAATGAGGGGCTAGCCCAAAAGGCCGTACCCCGAGGGTAAGGTGACCGGAAGAGGAGGTTGAATGGGGATATCTCCAAGTTATACTAAAATAAATAAAAAAAGTCGCGATCGGTTGGCTGTTGAAACGTGCAATAAGTATAAGTTTATCTAAATCTGATTGTACACACTCCAAGCTGTAGAAGTAAATTTGAGTCTTTAAATAGACAGGTTGAGAAGTATAAAGGAGTGACACGATACTGTTTAATTTGTTAATCTACTTTTACGTTTAAAGCTACCTAAATTTGGGGACTTGCTCAAATCGTTGTGGATGTTCGCTTTTGGCATAAGCCACTGCACCTTATTCAACTCGATTATATATTGCCATTTACTATATCCATAAATAGGCTTCTTGTGGTGTCTACCAATCAAGAGTTGAATTCATTCAAGGGCCAATGACAAGCTCATTTCTTACTGTACTTATTAATGATCCTAAAAGTCACCTCCTGATTAATTGGTATCCTTAATATGCCAATCACTTAACTTAATTATGCTTCCCTGAGCTAACATCAAGTTGATAAATGTAATACATCATTATGTTAAGCTTTCATTTAAATTAGAGAGTACTGGCTTGGAAGAAAATATTCTTCGACAGGTTTGGTTCAAGACAACCCTCTTATACAACATTAAGTGTGTGTTATATATGCTATATTTAGCGCTAATCATTGTTAGGCTCATTTGATGGACATGATATATAGGATAAGGGTAGGATATGATATGGGGTTGATAATGGTAGGATATGATATGTGGCTGATAAACCTATATCATGTCCTGTATTTGATGAACACCTGATTAGCAATCTGATAAGATTATGTAGAAGGAGAAAGGAAAAAGGAAAAAGAAAATATAATGCAATAAATACAAATATATTGAGTAGCGTAAGAATATATTGGGTATCCAATATTGTTATTTTATATTGTTGAATTCTAACTCAGCTCCCCCCATAAAATAAGAAATCATGTATTAGATAGGATAGAATGAGACAATAAGATAAGCTAATCATATCTTATTGACCCACCAAACAAGAGTTATAAGTAGGATATGATAAGTTATCATATCCTATCTTTTTTATCAGATGCTCCAAATATGCCCTTAGTGTATACTAAAAAAATGAAAAATGATCTTACATAGCTAACATAATACGCACTCATTGATACAATGTTGTACTTTAATATTAAAATTAGATTTTTAAATATTTGACTCTAGACATGCATATAAATATCACGATAAAATAATGAATATTTAGTCCTTGACGAACAAAATTTTAAATATCACCAGAGCCAGACAAATGTTTGATGAATTTGAAGGGAGTCATCACCCCTTTTAACCCCTCTATGATGGAATGATGAGGTTCAAATTCAACCATTTGGTCATAAACTCTGATACCATGTTATACAACCAACTCAATCCAATAACTTCAGTTAATAAGTAATGTCATATTAATAATTTTTATATTAATATCTATCTACTTTGAATTGAGTTTATAAATCTTTTATAATCTCTCATTAAAATAACTTCAATCAACTCTTGTGGATTTGCTATAAGCAAGATGTTATTTGAAACCTATCCGCACCCTCTTACAGGCAAAAGCCACTTTATAACGCAACCCACATAGCTGATCAAACCAAACCTTTGGAGTATTGAGTATCAAAATAAATATCCTCGGCGATGCTAGTAATATTCTTGCTGTATATTAGAGATGACCTCACTCGGTGAGGCAGATGATGATGAAAGTGGGTCCCAAGAAGAGTTCAAGATGCAATTGAAAGACAAACAAAAATGATGTAAAAGGTTTAGTAAGTTGAAAAGATACTTACTTGGCTAAATGTTTAAGATGATTATGGTTTTGGGCTTCTTAATTACATGGTGGAGGGGAAGCAAATTGAATATTATGTCATCTCATATATATTGACGTATGAGTTTAAATTTGTTAATTCATCGTATCACACAACACTTCAAGCTTTGATATGTCTACACGTCTCTAGTTTTGATTTTAATCCTCTTCCCGACCCTATCCCTGTACGTCCCTTAATAAAATAGGGACACGTACACACATTATTTAAGTCCCATTAATATTCCCTACGGTTAGGAATCAACGTATATACAGACTCTCACCTACATAAATTGATTATTCGCTTTAGGTTAACCGTTGTTAGCCAAGCAAAGCCTACATTTAATGCGCGAAAAAGATGAGAAAGTAAAAAGTATGTTTAACAGATGTTAATTTGTACATTAATAATGGAGGTCTGTATTTGTCATTTAATATGACACAATAAATATTTCTACACACACAATATTTTGTGGGATCCATACTTTTTGAAGAAAAAAGAAAAAAAAGAAATTATGGCACGCAAAACGAATCTCTATAATATTACACAATCACTTTTCCTACAACATATAACTCTTATAAAACCCTTAATAATATAGTCAAATAAATGAATAATCAAATCTGATAAATTATTCTATCTTATAATTAATGCAAAACTTTATCATTTTATTTGTTAACAAAGATTAGCCTACTTGATGATTTTTTTTCATTTATGATAGCCACGTGACTTTCCTGAGTTGATATATAGTTTAGTTTGAATTTGAAACGAGGAACAATTTGCCTCAATTAATTTTTTACTTATTTAAGAAAAAAATTATCATTTCACCTACTATGTAATATGGTACTATAAGATTTGTTTTTTGTAGCATTGTATAGTTCCTAGTCACTGGGACCATGCACGATCACTACCATTATTGTGGCATTTGTCTCACCATTATTACTAACGCTAGCACCAGCTCTATCATTAACTTGAGTGTAGTTGGGTTAGTAAAAATCATACGCGATATTGATGTAAATATTAATAAAGTCTCTTTTTCATACTGCCAAGTTATGTTAGAAATGACAATAAATATATCTGATATGGTAAACATCGTATAGTATGGTTCGGGTGCTTATACAATTGTGCACTAAATGACTGATAATATACCGGTTAATTAATATTAACACCTTTTTTAGTGTTATCATGTTACCTTATACTATGGAGCTTCACATTATCATATCATATAAGCACCAGATGAGGCCTTATATTTCTTATTTATTTTAATATTAGAGTTTGGAAAGGTGAGTGGCACTATTGTGTTTATGAACTCACTGGCTGACAATTTAGGACTACTGAATGCAAGTGCTAAACTGGAAATTATTGATTTTTAAATTATTTTTCATTCTCATCAAAATCTCTCTCTCTAGATAAAAATAAAAATAAAAAAATAAATAAAAAATTCATGTTTTTCTGCAATAAAAAATTATTTTAAAGGGTAAAAATTTCTGCAATTAATAATTAATTAACGTAATAAAATCTTATACAATTCAATGAGTAAAGAAAAGAATCAAATGATCACTCAGAATTATTATTTCTAATAATTAGAATTGAAAAATAAATAAAACTTTTGTTATCCTTTATGAGTGTGGTGCAGAGCAGTGAGACAATGGAACAAGGTATCGTTGGAATAGTGACAAGCGTGAGGACTGAGTCTCACCGTCTCCACCTATTTGACCTTAAAACAAGTCATCGCTTACGCGTTCTCTCACTTGTATGTATCTGTGGAATGCGTGTCCAATTTTAATGGCACTTTTTGCTTTGGAAACAGCTTCATCCAACAAACCCATAACTATTCTCTCTTAAATGCTCAAACTTCCCACCAAACACCCCACAATTTGACCCCTTCCCAATTGCCATTTGCACCATGTGAGCCCACACTTCACATCCTGCGGGCAAAGCTTAAAAAAAATGCACAAGTAAAGTGGCAATTTTGGGCATAAGATCATTCGGTGCTTCCATTGGGAGTTAGCGACGTTAGACGAGAAATATGCTTCACACGAAATAACCTACCATCTCTCTTTCTCATTCTTTATATCTATATCTATATATTAGATATAATTGCAATTTGGGTATGGTTTATTTTTAAAATTCAGAAGTGCAATTTACTGACATGCATGTATACCTAAATTAAATAGTCACGTTATTGGTCAATTGACATTTTTCCAAACAACATCAATGTTTGTCTTTCCG